ATTACATGCAAGGGGGATGGAGCAGTTTTTTTCCTAGGCTGATTCTTCACAGTGTGGCTACGTAGCTGTATTAGAAGTGAGTTCCCTCTCATCTTTCTGTATGAAGGCCCCCTCTAATGATGAAATGATAAGAGTGGTTTTTGACCACTTTGGCATGTTTATATCCTTTCCAACAGGGTGAGAAGGAAAAGTCTGCACAGTGGCCCTTTGACTTTAAGACTATAATATCAGGAGATGACCCTCTTAATGAACTAACTAAGCCTTGACAATTTATTGTCAAATTTTAAAATCATATGTGTACAAATTATGTTTATTACCCATCAGCCTACTTCAATTTTATTCTAGGGAACGTGAAAGACTTAAGCACAATAAGTTACATGTTATAGGATTGTACCATCATAATTGATATTTAGTGATGGTGTGATTTTGTAAATGAAGAAGGAATGGATTTCCCTGTTTTATTTATATTAAAAATTAAGTTTAACAACACAACATACCTCCTCAGAGAAACATTTAGATTACAATGTAATATATTTCCCAAGGGAATTAGTTGGTCTATGTTAGTCTAGAATTCTTTGTAGGCCCTTTTTATTGTCCTTTCTATTACTTATTTTTAAATTAAAACCTTTTTAATTAGAATGTTTTAGATTAAATTCATGTCACATTTTCTGCAACGTAAGCATTGTCATATTTCTTCTCGATGTGTGTTATATGTTCTTTCTAAAGCACATAGTAAGTATTCAAGACATTTTTGCAATTATAATTCTACAACCATTAATAATTACCATTTTACTCAGGATAGCGACTGACAATTTGGAAATGACGCTTTTTATAACATACATTCAAAAAGTGAATCTTTGGAAACTCCATGTGATCACAGTCCTCCTCTAAATTCTAGACTCATTTAACCTTTTATGTATGAGATTAATTTTGTCTGTCTGTTTGTTTCAGCCTATGAATTACAGAACTGCCCAGATCCACCTCCGTTTCAGAATGGGTATATGATGAACTCGGATTACAGTGTGGGACAATCCATCTCTTTTGAATGTTATCCTGGATACATTTTAATAGGCCATCCTGTCCTCACCTGTGAGCATGGGATCAACAGAAACTGGAACTACCCTTTTCCAAGATGTGACGGTAGGTTAATCATTTTTCCTGAAAGCAATTTAATTTGCCAAGGATCGAAGTGCATTAAATATTAAATAAACATATCTAATACTTAATTTAATCAACCGATCTTCACTGAGAATCTGTTTTTAGATGAACTCTACCAAATATGTCTGAAATATACCATAAATCAGTAAATTTAAAATAATATACAGCCCTTGATGTCAATGAAATTATAGGGAAAACAAAAGAATAAACAGATAATTCTAATGCAAAATCAGACAGAAGGAGAGTTGTTATGAGTTACAGGAATGGAAGACGGATTCACTTGAAAAATCTTAGTGATGTCAATAGCATTTAGTTTTTCAGTGGTTACATCAAATTGCGGAATGAGCGGGAGAAAAGGTACTTCTTAATTTTAGTCTAGATTTTTGCTTGCTTAAGTTTTATAATAATCACATACTTTCGATTTTGAGAAAACTGAATTCATCTTTGTAGTAGGTCTCTGCTCCTCACAGATGGAGAACATTCCAGGTAGAAGAGACACTGTAAGCAAAGATGTAGTTTACATATAGTCTTAGGAGACCATCCTGTGAAGAGTTAGATCCTGTCATTCATTTCTGGACTCTGCAGTTTGAGAAACATGCCAGGCACACATGCATGCGTGTTCAAATTCCTGATAGGAGGGAGAAATAAAGAATTAATTGAGGTAAAAAAAAAAAAAAAGAATTAATTGAGGTGTGGCCACCCCTCATGGGGCAGGCTTTCTCACTCACTCTCTACCCAGTATGTGCACACGTTCTCTGGCAAAATTAAAACAAAACAAAACAAAAGAATGGTCTTAGGAAAAATGACTAAATGACGATCAAGATTTTTTTAGAGATACTGGAATCAGGTTATTGGGCAGTAGTGAGGGGGGAGATTTGGAATCATGAATGTCCCTAATTTGAGCAGGAATCTATTTTAAGTTTCTGTGTCTAATTGTTATGATGACTTACAAGAAAGTTTTGTAATATCAAGTTAAAATAAGAAGATCAGGTACAATATGTTTGTGAAAGATGCATATGTAACAGAAAATTTACTGTACTCAGTAGTCTAACATTATAGATACAGTACCTTTAAATATAGAATAGATAAATATTAAAATTACAAACTCTGTGGGACTTTGAAATGCTAAACACTTACATCCCGTGGGGAAAAGGAAAAGACAGTTAGCTTTGTTCAAATTTCTTTTGTGAAGTAAACATACACAAACACACACAACTCAGTGGACTTTTTTTTTTTTGGAGAGATTTTCGCTACAGGGCACGTGCACTCGCCAGACAGACAGAGAGAGACATAGAGACCAGGATGGTCATGCCACAATCCCTCCATTCTCCTCTCGGGATCTTGGGCACGCACGCACACGTGCCCAGCGTGAGTTTTAAGCCACCGGGTCCGGGACGCAAACCGCAGTCGGCTACGTGGGAATCCAGCGACATAGCCATTACGCTAACTGCTGGTTCTCCAAGTCAGTGGACTTTTTAAATCATACTTTTCACCTGCATTTTTTCATTCTATATTATTATAAAAACAACTATGAGAATAAGTAACTGTATTTCAAAAATTTCTTAGTTTACCATTTATTTTGTATGAAATTGCATTTTAAAATTAATTTTAAAAGACTGAGTATAGGGAACCATTATCTTCTAGTAATTAACCAAAATGACGAACACCAAGGAGGAAAGAGGAGAGGCACCCGATATATGTTCTCTAGGCCTTTTAGAAAGCATGGAGTTGTTTCTTTGGCAACATACATGCAAATCTACAAGAAAGGTGATATTATAGACATTAAGGGAATGGGTACTGTTCAAAAAGGAATGCCCCACAAATGCTACCATGGCAAACTGGCTAAGTCTACCTTACCCAGCATACTGTTGGCATTGTTGTGAACAAACAGGTTAAGGGAAAGATTCTTGCCAAGAGAATCAATGTGCATATTGAGCATATTAAGCATTCTAAGAGCAGAGATAGCTTCCTAAAATGTGTGATGGGAAATTATCAGAAAAAGAAGGAAGCCAAAGAGAAAGGTACCTGGATTCAACTAAAGTGCCAGCCTGTTCTACCTAGAGAAGCACACTTTGTGAGAACCAATGGAAAGAGGCCTGAGCTACTGGAACCTATTCCCTATGAATACATAATGGGTGTTAAAAATAAACTAGTCTATGGTCTATAAAAAAAAAAAAAAAAGACTGAGTGTAGCAGTATCCTCAGATATTTTTTCCTTAAAACATCTTAAATACTACTTTAAATTTAAAAGTTCATTTATCTGTGTAAATTACTTTGAAATCATCATATTGCAACTTTTTCTTATTTGCATTTTTAGCTTGGATCCCTTGAATTCATATGTAAATGTAGACTCCTTGGCTTGACATTAAAAAGTCAGATTAAATATTTAATTTGATTTCATTGCTTTTCCAAGTTGTTTTTCAATATGGAAATAACTCCTCTGGCTTACAATGATTTCATTAGTGTGTAAACAAATACATCTTTTCTGGTATCATTTGAATTTGATGCCATCTTTCTGATACCATCATGGTATGTAATACTACCCAGAGTTAGCCAAACTATAACATGAAGCTAACGTCCTTCTGACTTCCAAAATCAACCTGAAGTGTGAGACTTCATTAGAAGAACTCATTGAAAGTTATTATACTCATTGTTATGGTTTACTGGGAAAGAATATGTTAAAATCATTCAAGGAGAAAGATGCATAGGGTAGAATCTGGGCTATTTATCACTATCTGTCAGAGTTGATGTGGGACAGTTTACACAGGATACTGCTCACCTGGGATGTTCACTTGAGCCTTAACATCTAGAGGTTTTATTGAGGTTATGCTGTGACTAATTTTCTATGTGGTTATCTCTGCCTAAAGGTGAACTAATGTGTGATCAACCCCAGCCTAAATCACATGGCTGTCCTTTCTGATGGAGCTAATTCCCACCCTGACATTCTTGGGTTGACCAGCCCCATTATACACCTGAGCACTCCTATCAGAAGTTATAACTACCTGTCAGAAGCAAGGGCAAAGGCCATAGCTCTGTGTGTGCCAGGTCACTTTTTTGGGCGGGAGAGATTTTTCACTATAGGGCATGTGTGCTCACCAGACAGACAGAGAGAGAGACATAGAGACAGAAAGCGAGAAATCACCCCTCAGGGGGGATGGTCACCCCGCAGTCCCTTCTCCTCCATTCTCCTCTCGGGATCTTGGGCATGCACGCACACGCGTCCAGCGTGAGTTTTAAGCCACCCGGTCCAGGACGTGAACCATGGTCGACTACGTGGGAGTCCAGTGACATAGCCATTACGATAACTACTGGTTCCCAGGTCACATTTTTTTATAAAACAAAAATGTTTACCAATATATTTCTCTTCCTGCCAAGAATATCATAGACAAAATTTTTAAAAAAAGAAACATAGGAGTCATGTAGAATCATATCATAAGTAAATTTAGAAAGCAATGAGAAAACCATATACAGGCTGACTGAGATAGAACTGAAAAAAGTTATTCCATTTACCATAGCCACAAAAAGTATAAGATACTTAGGGATAAATCTAGCCAAACAAGTTAAAGACCTCCACAAGGAAAACTACGAGAAGATAAAAAAGAAATTGAAAATGACACAAAAAAGTGGAAGTACATCCCATGTTCCTGGATTGGAAGAATTAATATAATCAAAATGACAATTCTACCCAAATTAATCTACATATTTAATGCAATGCCAATCAAAGTACCAGGCACATTCTTCACAGATCTAGTAAAGACAATCATAAAGTGTGTCTGGTATCACAAAAGACCTCACATTGCCAAAGAAATTCTGCACAAGAAGAGTGGAGTGGGTGGCATCTCACTCCCTGACCCAAACATATACTACAAAGCTGTGGTAATCAAAACAGCATGATACTGGCACAGAAATAGACACGTGGACCAATGGAACAGAATAGAGTGCCCAGAAATAAAATCTCAAACATACAGTCAACTGATTTTTGACAAGGGGTACCAGTCAATCCAGTTGGAAAAGGAAAATCTCTTCAACAAATGGTGCTGGAAAAACTGGATTTCCACCTGCAGAAAGATGAATCTGAACTTGTACCTCTAACCTCTGCTGAAAATCAAGTCAAGGTAGATCAAAGATCTAAATTTAAGACCTCAAACTATAAAATTCCTCCTGGAAAACACTGGGGAAACTCTGGGAGACTTTGGAGTAGGGACTTCTTAAATAAGACCCCCAAGGCACAGTCGGTAATCCCCAAATAGACAAGTGGTATTACATCAGACTAAGGAGTTTCTGCATGGCAAAAGACACAGTAATTAGTGTAAATTAGTGTGACAGCCCTCAGAATGGGAAAATATTTTTGTAAACTATGGGTCTGATAAGACACTGACAACCAGAATTCACAAAGAACTCAAGTAGCTGTTCTGAAAAAAGACGATCAATCCTATTAAAAGATGGGAGAAAGAGTTGAAAAAAAAAAAAAAAACTCTTTAAAGATGACATACAAATAGCTAAAAGGCATATGAAAAAAATCCTCAACATCCTTCATTGTAAGAGAAATGCAGATCAAAACAACAATGAGATACCACCTAACCCCAGTCAGAATGACTAAGATTTAAAAAAACAGAAAATGATAAGTGCTGGCAGGAGTATGGTAAATAGGGAATTGTCTTACGCTGCTGGTGGGAATGTAAATTGGTCTAGCTACTGTGGAGAACAATTTGGAGATTCCTCAAAAATCTACAAATAGGACTACCATATGATCCAGCAATCCCACTCCTTGGTATCTACCCAAAGGACAGAAGAATACTTAATCGGAAAAGTACTTTCACATTGATATTTATTGTGGCACTATTTACAATTGCTAAGTCACAGAAACAACCCAAATGCCAACACACAGGTAAATGGATAGAAAAACTGTGGCACATATACTCTATGGAATACTATTCAGTCATAAAAAAAAAAAAAAAAAAAAAACAAGGCCCTGGAATTTG